CCCAAAGGCTTGCACAGCTGTTCGTTGCAGCAGCCCTGGCTCCAAGCTCCCCAAGCGAATGGTGCCTCTGGGGCTGGTCAGGGGGTGCTGGTTGCCAGGAGCAAGCAAGCAAGCCAGTGGGCGAGGGACCCCAGCCAGCCAGTCCACCAGCCCTTGCAGTTGAGAATGGACAGACAAGTCCCAAGTCCCTGTGGGGCAGTGTGAGGAGGCACCTCTCTCTGGGGCAGCTCAGAGACGAGGGAGGGCTGCCCGGAAGACTCCCAAGGAGAGGGAGAGCAGAGGCGGCTCGGGGAACACCCTACAAGGGAGTGTGTTCGAAAAAGGGTGACATAACTGGGCTCCTGAGCCCCCCAGGGGTGCTGCAGAAAGAATGTAGTTGGCCAAGGGAACCGTGGACTCAGGAATGTTGAAAACCTCTGCACTAAAAGAGTATGGTGCACAGGATAGTGCGCACCCTGGAAATGATCTCTTTCAGCTTCTGCCTTCTGGAAGAAGGTCCAGGGTTATAAAGACTAGGACTAGCTGCCTGAGAAACAGTTTCTATCCAAATACAATTTTGGTTTTAATTGCAGTGTAAGTAGTCTCTATGGGAGTATATTGTATTTTAAAAATGGGGTATCAGAGTTTTTAGGGGGTCAATCAGGCTGGGATAGCTGGGATAACAGGCTTGTTGGTTTTGAATGTCTTACGTAGATTTTTTTTTCCAATTTTTTCCAATTTTGTTGTTCTGTATGGGACAATGACAATAAAGACTATCGTATTGTATACAGTGGTACCTCGGGTTAAGTACTTAATTCATTCTGGAGGTCAGTTCTTAACCTGAAACTGTTCTTAACCTGAAGCACCACTTTAGCTAATGGGGCCTCCTTCTGCCGCCACACCACCAGAGCACAATTTCTGTTCTCATCCTGAAGCAAAGTTCTTAACCCGAGGTAGTATTTCAGGGTTAGTGGAGTCTGTAACCTGAAGTGTATGTAACCTGAAGCGTATGTAACCCAAGGTACCACTGTATTTCTATTCCTCCACCTGTTCCCTTGTACCTCAGGTGCAGATTGCTGCCACACTTAAAACTCAAACAACCCCTCCAGCTGCAACCTGAGGCTAGGCAGATGTTTGGGGTGGGAACCAAGGCTAGGCTGGGCCAGACAGCAGTTGTGCTCCAAAACATCTGGAGAGGCCCCCAGATGCCGGTTATCTTCGCTCGGAATGAAATCCAATGAATTTGCCTGCATCAGCAGGTTTTGGCGATTTGGAAATGATGTATGGTACTAGGAGCTATTTGGGAGTAAGACAGGGCGGGTGGAAATCAAACAGGTGCACATCTAAATATGTGGCTTCAGAGGAGGAGGAAGGCAGCCAATTCAGAGAGTGTAGCTGGGATCTCCAAAATTTATTCAGCAGGCTGATCCAGCTCTCCCAAAAGAGGCTAAGCTCCCGAACCCTTCCTCTCTTGCAATTTATATTGCAAGCTGCTCGGGGCAGGGGACTACTGCTTTCTCCACTAGTAAGAGCATAAGGACAGAAGAATAGATAGCCCATCTAGTGCAGGATCGTGTTCCTGCAATGGCCAACCAGACGCATCAGTGGGAAAATAGCAAGCAGGATTCAAGCAGAAGAGCAACTCTCCTCTCCTGCAACTGAGGTTCAGATGCTAGGAGCCATCAATCACCCTCTCCTCCTCCAGGAATTTGTCTAATCCTCCTTTAAAGTCATCCAGGAAGGAGTTCCACAGTTTAAGTACATGTCATGTGAAAAAGTACTTGCTTTTATCCGCCCTGATGCTGTGAGCATCATTGGCCCAAGAGGCTGTCATGCTCCAGAGCGGCCCAGCAATAGAAGCCAGGACGATGGCAACTGCTCCTTAAGAGTAACAGACGCACATTTAATCCACATCCCACACTGGATGTATCCACACCAACCATGCCAGCTGGACTTTCAGCAGGGTGCCTAGGAAAAGTCTCGTTGGAAGGGACCCCAGAGCATCATCTAGTCCAGCCCCGCCACAAAGCAGGAATCTCAACTAAAGCATCCAAGGCAGATGGCTAGCCAAACTCTGCTTTAAAGCCTCCAAGGAAGGAAGAGTTCACCGCCTCCCAAGGGAGTCCATTCCACTGTCAAGCACCTCCTACTGTCGGAATCTGATGCTGAGTTGCAATCTCCTAACTTGAAGCCATGTGTTCGAGTCCTGCCCTACAGAGCAGGAGAAAAGAAGCTTGCTCCATCTTCCTTGTGCCAGCCCTGGAGATATTTGAAGATGGCACATCTCCCTCTCAGCCTCCTCTTTCCCAGGCTCCTGCTCCCTCAACCGTTCCTCCCCAAGGGCTGCTGAAGAAGCTTAGCTGTTCTGGACTGAGAGAGAGAGGAGGGTCCTATGGGGGAGAAGACCATCAATGGCTGTTATATTGTCCGAGGCAGCAATGCTTCTGAATTGCAGCTGCTAAAAGCCACTGGAGGGGGAAGGGTTCTGGGTGCTTGAATCCTGCTTGTGGCTTTCTCCAGTCTTCCAATTTCCAATTGGAAGACTGGAGAAATACCAACTAAAGCACAATGGCAAGAGAAGTTGATGAACGATGCAGAACTGGCAAAAATGACAGAAAGACTAAGAGAAAAAGACAACAGAGACTTCAAAAAAAATTGGGAACCATTCCTATTATATTTGCAGAAACAAAGAAAGGCAATAGACTTGATGGCAGGATTTAAATAAACATCCACATTATTAGCATCAGAAAATGTTTGGAAGATAGTGAAATAAGATGATGTAAATAAGATGATGTATTCAATTTTATTTTTAGGTTTGAAGTTGTGTTATTAATAACCTTTTCTGTTAAGAGATAGCAAAGTGGGTGAAAATAGAAACAAACCAGAAACGCAAGTTGGGGGAAGTCTTGGAGGGGAGGGAGGAATATATAGTAAACGTTAAGAATTTGAGGTGTATGTACAGTAATGAATGAAAAATGAATAAAATTAATTTTAAAAAAGAATCCTGCTTGTGGGTTTCTCAGTGGGCCACTGTCTGGCCACTGGGACAGCAGGCGCTGCACCCTATTCGATTTGTTGCAGAAGCATAGAATTGTAGAATTGAAAGGGCTCTCCAAGGGTCATCTAGTCCAACCCCCTTCCATGGTCACATTTTGTTTCCTCCATCAAAAGGGTGAACTGCTACCCCTTGGCTACTCTACTGGTGCAATGCAGGCCCAAACTGTAATGTGGGTGGGCCTTCATGGACACAGATCCCGCAGGAAATCTCTCAGGAGAGCGCAGAGGAGACACTCTGCACCCCTCAGCCACCCCAGGAATGCACAAACCACCCAGCCTCAGCCACCCCACCCATCGCAAGGTTGCTCCATTTTGGCCTTTCCACCTGGGGAATCTCCCCTACTCACGACGCAAAAGAAATGAGCCTATTCTTACAAAGAAAGGGATAAAAGGGCATGAATCGTACCAGATCCATTTCCAGAGGTAAGCCTTTTGGGGCCTGCCCCAAAGCCAGAGAGTTTGGTTTTTTAAAATGTTTGTTCTGTTTCCACCCTCTCTTTTCAAAATTTATTAGTTTTGAAGGCAGCAGCTTCCAAGAATGCAATTAAAAACATCGGATAAACACCACCAGAATTTCAGTCGCAGCAAAAAAAAACTTGCAACCACAAGACACCATCAAAAGCAGCAAGGACTTTGTGGTTTTTTCCCCCCTACGTTAAAAGCAAATAAAATGGTTTGGCTCTGGCACCCGTCGTGCAGTAACGTGAATAGTGTAAAGGTGAACATCTCCAGGGATGAAATTCCCAAACTGGGGCACCACCACAGAAAAGGCCCTTCTCTGCTTGCTTGCTTGCTTGCTTGCTTGCTTGCTAGCTACCTGCCTGCCCTCTGAAGGTGGGGGCACCCACAGCAGAGACACCAGGTATAACCTTACAAGACAACTGGGTTTATAAATCCTTTAAATACCCCACAGTCCTTCTCCTGCAGCTGAGCTCCAGGTGTGCAAGAACTGAGAACAACTTTGCAGGTAAGCGAGCAAAAGTTACTGGCCCACAACTTTCTACTTTTGAACTCCAGGTAGCAGACACACCATTTTCCATCCAGGTATCTGGTTTTGTTTCAGTTCAGCAAACTTACTGTATCATGTGTGTCTTCAAAATCATAGCTTGGGGGGGTGCTTAGACAACTGCTACCAAATCTGTGTGTATACACTCACATATATGTTTGTAGATTTTATAAATATATATAAAATACACACACAAACTTTTGTAAAAACTTCCCAGCTGCTTGCCTGGAAGCTCATACCTGTTCACCAGTGGCGATCAGAAAAGTGGTTCTTCACAACTCTGGTTTAGAACTGTCAGATCATAACCGAAAAAGTGGGCAGGCAGAGATCAGACTAAACCGAAAGGAGGCTAAAATGGTTCCATATCCTATCAGAAAACAACCTCAACATAGGATATACAGATGCATACACAGTGAATGTCAGCGGTTTTCTTCAACAGATTCTGAGAACCTCTCCAGCAGCTATGAGGCCTCAAGAAAGAATTAAATGCTAAAAAAAAACCCTTCCATGTGAAAACAACAACCCTGAGTGTTATTCTCAGCTTGAGTTTGTCTGGACAATGAGTTCACTTTTTCAAAGATTAGAGATTGCCCTAGGAGTGGGGGGGGAGGTGTTAAATAAAAGGGTGTTTGCTCATGTGCTTAGTTTTATTGCTCTTCATTCTACACCCCTTGTTTTAGCACCTGGAAAATTGGCGGTGCCACCTATTCAGAAAGCCAATAAATCTTCCCTCTCAACTCGACCAGACTTCCTTCTTTGCAGATGTTGGCAATCAGGTTTGCAAAATTTCAAAGTCATTCATTCCATGTGGGTGAGGTTTCATTATTGCAAAACTTGTCACCCTACCAACCCCTCCTCCTGGTAAACTCCAAGTCACCTATGCACGCCTAGCGCTTTCTTCTCTCTCTTTTCTGTGAAGGGGGGGAGAGAAGGCAAACACACAGCAGTGCATTGTAGTACAACTGTGTGTGTGTGTGTGTGTGTGTGTGTGTGTGTGTACATGCACACATACATACACACACACACATTTGCCTTTTGCTGGCTTCCAGCAAGCCTCAGCACAGGTTTTAAAAGGGCCAGAGAGATGGCAGAATTTGAGGTCCTCGTCACTGAAGGCAGCACCATTTCCCTCCACAGTTTTGCAACGGAATGCCACACATCTGCAGAAGGCTGCCAGCTGTTTTTAAACCTAGCCCATGCTCTGGGTGGATTGTCTGATCCAAGTATTTAAAAACAAAAGGGGGTGGGAATCTAATTTGGGAAGAAGAGGAAAGGAAGGGGGGAAGAAACACCAGGCAGCTTCAAAGTCTTAGACCTTAACAGGGAAGGAAAAACGCCTAAAGCACTTGGGAAAAACTGCAAGGAAAAAACCCCATCAAGTTGGGAATGAGTGCTGTTGTTTTAAAGGGGTTTGGGGAGGCTTAGATTCCTCTCCACACAGCAGTTTTCTGTCTATGGGTTTTAAAATATTTTTTCAGAAGACCAGCTACCGCTTGGCTCTTGCACAGATACCCAACCGCAAAAATCCATCCCAAGTTAAAATGAGCACATGCCTGCAGAGGCACTTTTTAAAAGGTTCTGGGCATGGATAAATGCTCTCCTGGATTTCGTATCACACACATGCACAGACATAGCCCACTGTGCCCTCCCTCCTTCACCTCCAGAGGGCTAGAAAGAAGTCCAGGAACAAGGAATTTCTGTAAACACTAGAACTTTTCATCTGTTTCAAATTGCATGCACACACTTGCCCTCGCACCCAAAGATGGCACTTTAACTTCATTGCAGAACAATCCATTTCTCGCACACAAAAGAATTCCAAGAGAAGATTGCAGGAGATGGGGGCATTTTTTCAGAAAAGAAAAGAAAAAAAAAGATGGATCCTACTATGCAAGTTTATTCTACCTGAGAGCCAAGAAATTAATAAATAAGCACAGGTTTTTACCCTCCATTAGTGCATTTAAGAGAAACCTGGGTTTACTTTGGGCACATGGTAAATAATTCTTTTCTTTTTCAATCCTGGCAGCAATTCTTTTCAACACTTTCTCTTTTTTTAAAAAAAAAGTTAAAATCAACACAGGCAAACACTGGTAACTAAGCAAACACAGCCAGCTAAGTTCTGTGCAATGTATATATTTGAAGACGGCAGGCCCAGTAAGATAAACAGACTTTAGCAAGACAAAGGAATCTTTGGATATTTTAAAAGGTGCCCAGAAACAGGGAGGGGGAGAGGGGCCAGTGTCCCTCCCTCACAACTTTCTTCCATATTATTCTACAAATTCAAACCACAAGATTTGAAAAGGTTTCTTATATTATTCTCCATGCATTTAAATTATAAGCTATGACAACAAAAAATAAATAAATCCGAATCTCTAGTAACAACATATTATTTTGCAACTGAGATGCAAAAAATTTGATCCACAACAGATGTCATTCAAATCTTGCAAGGTGAAAAGAAGAAAAGTTTGGGAAGGGGAGAGAAGAGATTCTTTAAAAATTGTCCCCAGCCATCTGTCAGCAATGCCTGCAAACCCAAAGTATCCGTGAAACTTTGGAGGGGCTGCCAAATGGCTTTGCTAAACGGGCAAAATCTTAAATCTGTCCCTCCCCTGAGAAGGAAGGGAGAAAACTTCTCCCCCTCAAACCCACTTTATGCTTCATGTTGGGCAGAGGGCAAAAAACAAACAAACCCATAGCGATTGGAACATTCAGTGCTATGCAAAGTCACAGAATCCACACTGCAGAAAGAGTCCGGCAGTCATCAGCAGCAAGAATAAAACTGGCAATAAGAGAACAACTTCCAGACTTATTTAAGGCAACAGCCGCCACCGCTAGAGTCGACCATCAGAGGCACCCATTCTCCCAACACAGCCCAGTTTGCACAAATATCTCAGTGCGGGAAAGAGACACCGGTGTGGTACAATCACTCCCCAGATTGTAAAGGGAAAGCTTTCCTTGCCCGTATTTATTTAAAATACTGGCATTTTGTTCAAGGGGTCAAGTTCAGCTGCACAGCCAAGGAAGGCCTGTTTCCCGCTGCCAGAAAAGGGTGGGATCCTGCGGGTCTAGAATTCCACAGGTCTGGAATGCCGGCTTCTGCCAGGCCGGCCAAGATTTATGCTTCTCGGCTGCTCTTGAAAATGTGTGCGATGCTTTGTGTATGCTTGGGCGGGGGTGATTTCAAGAAATCCTGATGGGCCGACTCCTCTGGGAGAACAGGCTGGCTGGAAGGGACAAGGGCACCCCAAGCCAATGTAGGGCATAGCCTTAAAAGACAGGGATGGGGGGGGCTGTGCCCTTATCCAAAGCAGCCTGTCTGGCATTATAGGGCGGGTTCCTATCAGTTCCCAAGCTTCATTCTATTGCATTTATTTTATTAGCGGTTAGAGGGCTGTTCCTATGGGACCCCCATGTTTTCTGGCTCACGGGACCTACAGCCATGTAGAGAAAGGGGTGGTCTGTTTTGCAGGGAGGGGGCACAATAGACTACAGAGTATTCCCAAAGCCATACAGACTATTTAAGTAGAATCGCTTTTGGGGGTAGGGGTGGTAAGAAAGCCGCGCTACCAAAGAGAGATTTGTCTGTTTTTAGGAAGCAGAATTAATGTGTCATCTTTATTAAAAAAGGGGGGGGGTTGATGTGGACTTAAGGCTGCCAGGCACTTCTATAAAGCCCCATCTCGAATTATTGGACAGAGGGCTGCTCCCAAGGGATCCCGAGGTTTTATTTTGTTGAATTCATTTTTGTGGGGAGTGTGCTCTACGGCATGCCCAGGTTTTCTGTCTTATGGGGCCTTCAGTCATATGGGGAAAGGGCAGATCTGTTTGGCAGGGGGCTCAGTATGTTCTTGGGTGGGGAGGCAAACAGACTGCAGAGTATTTATCCAGCTATTTTTACTGCTATTTAAATGCAATCTCTTGGGAGTGGGGGAGAGAAGCCAGCCTACTAAGGGATTGACTATTTTTCGGAAAGCGGGATTATACAGTATATTTTTGGAGGCTGATAGGGAAGGAAACCAACCCAATTTTCCAAGCTTGGGACCCCCTAAAGTGTGGGGGGGCATTTTGAAGGTAAATTTGCAGAGGAAGGAGCAAAGGCGGACCCCCCCCCCTGCACCGGCCTTCCTTCCACCCCCCGTTTTCCTCTCCCCCAAATAAACCTTCCTCTTTCCCACCCCCCACCCCCTGTCCACGTCTGCGTGTCGACTTACCCGCGTGGGAATGGAGGTTGAGTCCGGCGGCGAGGTACTTGGCGGTGCCGAGGGGCGCGGGCGGCAGTCCGGCCGCCAAGGGGGCGAGCCGGGCGGCGGCGGCGGCGGCGCGGTGGTGCCCGTCCATGCCCAGCCGCGAGAGGAGCGGCGGCGGCGGGAGGGGGAGGGCGCGCGGGGGCCCGCCGGGGGCTCGCCCATCCATGCTGCGCTCCGCCGCCGCCGCCGCCGCCGCCGGACTCAGCGAAGGCGCAGCGAGGACAAGCGCCGCTGCCCGCGCCGCGCGCCCGGCCGCGCAACCATTCTCCGCGCGCGCGGGGCTCCGGCTGCCCAGGCGGCCCCGGACGGGAGCCTGCAAAAGAAGGCGAAAGGCGCCGCTTGAGTCTCGCAGAAAGGCGGCAGCGGCTCCAGTTTCCCTCCTAGACCCCCACCCAGCCCCACCGAGGGGTCTCCAATTTGCAGAGGGAAAGGAGAGACCGGCATATATATATATACACACACAGAGCTGCCTTTTTTTCCGCCTTCAAAAAAGGCGAGAGGACAAAAGCAAGGAAACAAGACTCAGGCTTCTTTACTCACAAGTAAACCTCACGAGGTGCAATGGGGCTTACTCCCAAGGAAGTGGGCGTCCAGCACTCCCCACATTTTAAAAAAAACAAAGATTCGTCCCTGGAACCCGAGTTCACATTTTGAAGACTTTTTTTTAAAAAAAAAGAATATATACGTTGTATTTTGTTTGCAGGGGGAAAATGTGTGTGTGTGTACAAAATAAAGACTTTTTAAAAGTTAGGGAGGTTTCTCCTAAGCGGCTGTTTACTCGCGAGTAAGCTCCTTCGGCCTGCAATCGAAAGCTGCCACCGCCGCCGGTATGCGCCCGTGTTCCCGGGCAGCCAGCTCCGATGGGATGAGGCTTACTCTCGAGTAAATAGGCGCAGGATCGTGCCCCAACCCCCCTTTCGGAAGCAGAGAGCTAGAGTCCGGTTTAAAGTCGACAGGGCTTGCTTCGGAAAGAGACAGAATCAGGCTCGCGTTCCGCGCGTTTGGAACCGCAGCTGCGCGTCCCGATCCGAAACGCCTTGGCTGAAAAGGACTTGCTCCCCAGGGGTGGAAAGGGCTCTTTAGGATCGCCCCCTTAACCGAGCCACTTTCCTGCCTCTCTTGCAACCTCGGTCATGGGGTGGGGGAAGATATGAGGAATTTAACCAGACCCACCTTCTTTGGCTTCTAGCTGTTATCTAAAATGGACTATCTTTTAAAATTCCGATTCGTCTGTTGTTTTCCCCCCTCTCCTCTCACGTTTTGCTGGACACCCTCTCCCTCCCCAGTATCGATTTTGACAAATCCTCATTCCTTCCCCTCCATCTTATCAGATGTGGGTCGACAAAAATGTAGAAAGGGCGGCGGGTGGGGGGCTGGGAGCTCCTACTCGCCCGGAGGCGAAAATAACCCATTACATATTTTATCATCTTCTTAGCCCTGGAAAAGTATTTAATGTTTAACCTTTTACGCACACGCTGCAAGCTGGCCCTGATAAGAAGCCCGAGATTTCTTCACGCCACTTGGGCAAAATGGCTCGGAAGGAAAATGGGGGTTTATTATTATTATTATTATTATTTTTGAGGAAGCCACCAACCCGGTGCTGTTTCCAGCGACGACCTCCCTACACTGGTTGGAATTTAATAAAATAAAATAAAATAAAGGTTTCTTGCGCCTTCTCTGCGAGAAATCGTGCTAGTTTCCTTCCTAGGAAGCCGAGCTGACTGTCTTTAAGAAGTAAGATTGCAATCCTCGCCCCGTTTACCCCGGAGTAAACCCCACTGTCTTCAGTGTCTCTCCGGGTTCAATGGGGCTTAGACCCCGGTAACACTGGCAAGAATAGCCATTTGTATCCTCCGTCTGGTTACTCAGCGGGGGTCGCTTCCAAATCATGGGACAGAATTTTTCTCTCTCCAAAAAAATGAGGCTCCAATGTTTGCCATTAAAAAATAAAATCAACCATTCCTTCTTTTAAATGAGGAGGAATGCAGAGAGAAGTTTCCAAAGTATTTTTGGTTGTTTCCCTCTCCCCCACCGCCATAAAATATTCCAAAATGTTTAGAATTCAGCTCACTGAAAAAATGGAGGGAGTGGAAGAGGGACTTGTTGGAAAATGACTTTCTTTTTCAAAGAAAGGCTATTCTCCCTCTCTCCAACCCTGAAGTCATTCACCAGCTGCCTTAAAATCACACCAAAAAAAGAATTTAGTCGATGTTTTAGCTCTCTGTTCCCAGGGGAAAATATCGCCTTGGAATTTCCTCAGACTGGTTCTTATGAACTGGTTGAAGAGAACGCAGTGTTCAAAAATCCCCGTTTAGTCCCTTACTAGGTTTAATTAAGAGTTTCTTACTTTAATCTGGGTTTAGTTAAAACTACCTCCGTGTTTATTAGACAACACCCACCCCAACCCAATACACGCCACTGAAATAGATACAAGATTGAAACGTTTGTTCCCATTTTCTTATAAGCCACGAGATAAATAAATCGGCGGCTTTGCATTTTAAGGATATAAAGGGCAAATGGTCCGTTTGTCCATTTCAGTTGCACGTATGGGGTTTTTTTGGGGGGGGAAGCCCTTCCCCATAACTTCTTACTCTAAGCTTCAATTTTTGATTCTTTGGAGAGGGAAGGTTCTTGTGTTAATTCCTATTTGGCCTTAATACTGTATACAGAAACACACACTTCGGATTCGTGTGTGTGAGATATGGGCACACTTTTAAGATCAGATGGGAATGAAAACCAGACCACCGCATCCCAAACCAATTCTGTACATATATGTATATATATATGTTTGGGGTGCGGAGGGGCCGGCTCTGCGTGTACAGAATTTCATTTAATGCCTTTTACTTTCCTTGATCTCAGTTCTTAACCCCCCCCCCCAAAAAAAACATGGCTGGACTCCTGATTTTAATTAAAAGCAGCCTAAGCGAAAATGCCTGCTTCTTGGGTTCTTTTTGCCAGGGAGAAGGGGGCGGGGAGGAGAGACCAAATCTGGGGCGCCCTGGTCCGGAGAAGAGGAATTTAGAAAAATTTGGAGAGGAGGGAAAGTGGAGAGGGGTGATGGGGGAGGGGGAGGACCCGGTCCTGAAATTGCCCTGGGGTTCCCCCCCCTACACTCCTGAGAAAGCTTTTTTTTCCCTCCCCTCCCCAGAGACAACTTCCCAAGTCAGCAAGAGTTGCAAAGCTTACCTTTCGGAAAGAGTTGTATTTTTAATTTTTATCTAGTCCTCTTCTTTGGCATTCTTCAGCCGGGTTTTCTCGCACCTGGAACCCAACCCTCCCTTCCGTGTTTCAAAAAATTAGATCCACAACCGGGGTGTTTTGGTTTTTTTCCGGGGTGGGGGCTGCAGCGGCCTTCCTCCCCCCTTCCTCCTCTTCCTCTTCCACTCTGAGCATCCAAAAAGGTCCTTGCCTGGTCCTCCTGGGCTCCCCTCTCCACCCTGAAAAGCGGCAGGACAGGCGGGTTCCTCGGCTCGCGGCTTTCACAAACTCGGGTTCCCTCGTCGTGTGAACGGGTCCGGCTTCCTCGTAAGCTCCAGGTCGGCTCCTTGTGGGTCGGGAGACTTCAAGATCCACACATATACAGCCCGGGCTTGGAATAGGTGCAATCCACCAAAAAAAACCCCTTTCAAGTTCCTCTCCGTGGATCTCTTAAAAAAAAAAAAAAAAAGAGGGGGAGGGGAGGAAGGGGGGGAAGCCTCTTTAGCAATGAAACAAGCATTGTTCCTTGCATCCCGCCCCCCCTCCGGGCCAGCCAGCCAAAATTTCATAGTAGGCCTCCCCATTGGCTGCCCCGCCCGCCACTCAGCCTCATGTAAACACTTTGGCCCGCCGCCATCCTTATAAAGCCAATTATGGACCGAGCGGGGCGAGAGTGGGGAGGGGAAGTTTCAAGGCTCCCCGGCGGGGAGGGCTGAATGGGCGAAGCGGGCGGTGGGAATTCAGAGAGGCGGTTTCAAGGTGTCCCCCCAACCCCGGTGTTGTTGTTTTTTGCCATCTCCTCCGCCTCTGGTCTGCTCTGGCTGATCATAAACAGAAAATCGGGGCGGGGGGGGGGGAGCTGCCATCTCCAGCCCTCCCCCCCCACCCCGAGGGAGGGGTTGCAAGCCGGCCACCGCCTCGCCTGCCCCACATTTCTTTGGGGGAGGGGGTGGGGAGACTGGTGGCCCCCGGAGCGTTTTGGTGGCCCAGGCGGGTTGCAGCGCCTAGGAAGGAAGGAGGGAGGGGTGTCTGTTCCGCTCTGCATGCTTACTCGGAAGTAAGCCGGCCTTAAACTCCCAGGGAGGAAAGCAAACGCAGCATCGGCGGCCCGAGCCTAGGCATGTTTACTCAGGTGTAAGCTTCCGCCATGTAACCCCCCAAACCCTCCTCCGCAGGTAAGACAACCGGGGACGGGGGGGGGGGTAGGTGGGATGGAAACCACGCAGCAGCTCTGCAGCGACGGGGGCTTACTCGAGAGTAAGGCAGCGCGCTGCTGCTGCTTGCCCAGGCTTGGGAGCAAAGCGACCGGGGGGGGGGGGCAAGGGCGCTCGGTATGGAGGTGCAGCTTACTTCCGAGTGAAGGTGCGTGGATCGGGGCCGCAGAGGACCTCAGCTTAGAGGCTTTATTTGGGGGTTCGTGGGGGGAGCGCACCAGATCTATCCTTTCTGGGAGTTCCTGTGGGGCAGAGCCAGGGAAAGCTGCACCCCCCCCCAGACATTGGGGCGGCCGGGGGTCTCGGAGCCTGATCCCAAACCCACAGCAGCGCCCCTCCCGTTTTGCCACGGTGGTTCCCCCCCCCTTGCAATCCGAATTAAAGCCTTGGGGAGGGGTCGTCCCTCCGCCCCGGAGTTGCTCAGCCCTCCATCCTAGGTCCCAACTACACTTTTCAGGGACTTCGGATTTATCCTCACCCCCGAGAGAGACGGGAGAACCCTGAACACTGGGCTTCTCTAGCTTGATCCGCTTTCACGCCGCTTGGTTGTGTCTACACGATCTCTCCGGCCAACAAACATCCCAGGCCTGGTCTTGGGAGCGCGGTGCTGGCGAGGATATTTGCAGTTTAGGTCTGGAAACTTGGCTGCGAGCCTGTGCCCTTTGGCGTGGGAGTAATGGCCGGTGGACTTTGGGTCTCACTTCGGAGTAAACGGAGCCGGCTGTCCGGAGTCCAGTTTGGACTCTTCCTCCCCGCCCCCCGCCCCAACAACCTCATTTCGCTTTGCAAAGCAGTTGAACCAGGGCGACCGGAGGGACAAACTGGTCGCCTTTATAAACCGAATTGGCAGGTAATGTTTCAGATTTAGACATACTTTTTAAATGTATGTATATATACATAAACGAAAAGCAAAAAATATCCTAGTTCCTGTTTTCGAGCTTGTTTTGAGTCAATATGGTGATTTAGCTGTGATAACTGCATTGCTAGGGAGATTGAGCTAGTTGATCCCTGGAGATCCCTGTGAACCGGTACAATTCTAGAATATTTTTTTGCTGTAGCGGATTAAACTCGCCCACGCCGCAAACCTACCCGAAGGAAAGAGATCTGGAAGCTGCATTTGCTTGGACCGGATATTTATTTTGCTTGTGTGAATTAAGAGTGTATTTGCAATAATAATAATAAACCATTAAACAAAACAAAAATCGCTTTTGGACACTCTTATTTGCCCCTGAATGGATAGAGGGAAGGGAGAAAAATTGGAAGGGGGGAGGGGAGACACCCTACCCTTCCTTAATTCCAGTGTAAACGTAACAAAAAAACCCACCTAGCAGTTTCAAACTGCCCCCGAAGCTCCAGCGAGGCAGTTTCTAGGCCGCCCTCTTTGGGAAGGAGAGAGCGCGGGGGGGGGGGGGGGAGAAAGCGACCGAAAATAGAAGCCGAAGAAGAAAAATGCAAACTTCTTTTAATGGGGTTTTTTTTTTGCGGGGGGGGGGGGCGTTAAAACGTCGCGATGCAAAAGGAGATAGCAACAAATAGCCAAGCTTGGTCTCTCTCTCTCTCTCTCTCCCCCCCCCCCCGGGCTAGTGAAGGAGTGACGACTTCGCCTCGGGATTGAATGGCCGGGATCCAAATTAGCGAAGGAGCAACAAGAGAATTGTTTTTTTTCTTTTTAAGCGGGGGGGGGGGGAGAGGAGGGGCGAGAGCCCCGCCGCCTGGGCAGAATGCAGAAAAGGGGGAGGGCCCCCCCCCGCCTCTTTTCCCACCACTCCGGTTTTATTTTACAACGGTAACGGGTTTGCATGGAATTGTGTGTTGTTTTTTTTAAGCCTGCAAATCTTTAAAAAAATAAATTAGGTATTCCCCTCTCCCCCCAAAAAAATTATTTTGCAGGACGGAGCCCTCTCTCAAGAGACGTGGAGCGAAGGTTGCATCAGATTCCCGGTTTTCCATGCAGGGGGGGTGCTTGGTCGGGGTTTTTTGGGGAGGTATTTTCTTGGCCCCATCTCTTTCTGGAGCAGAGCAAGCGTACAAGCCTGGATCCAGCCGATGGATTTTTTTAAAAAGCACCCCCCCTGATAATATTTAATGTTTTCACACCCGGATCCTCGCCAGAAGCTGCGAGTTTTGATATGGGGGGGGGGGAGAGAAGCTGTGCGATAAATCCCTGCTTCGTCAGTAAAACGAAAGCGCTGCCTGTTTATTTTCCTTTTTGCAAAGGCGCGTCCTTTTGCAACACCCCCCCCCGTTAAAAAATATATATATATATAAGCGGTTCCCATCAGGCCGGGGTGCAAATCTGCATTTCATTACAGCGCCCGACAGCCCATCCCGCCCTCTCCGGGTTAGTGACCCACCCAGTCCCTCCCCCGCGTCTCCAGTTTTTCCTCCCCGGCCGGATCCTCGCGCGTGCTTCCTCCTCGGGAGTAAGGCCCGCCTGCCTTTCCTCCCGGAGGGGTTTACTCGAAGGCAAGAGGATTGCGCCAAGAAAAATACAGCTTTTGCGGGCGGGGGGGGGGCATTTCCCGCTGCAAAAAAAAAAAAAAAATGCACGGGGGGGGGAGAGGGAGGTCGGGTCCCCACCCCGCGCGATCCCTCCCCAGCTGCGGGAGGAGATTTTGCAATTTTTAAAATTGCAATAAATCCCCAGTTGGGCCCTCCGGTCGCCTCCGCGGCTGCAAAAAAGAGGTTCCTACTCGCACAGAACCGCTTGTCACTGCAAGGCTGCTGGCGGATTTTTCCCCCACCCTCTCCACCTTTTGCATCTCTCTCTTAAAAAAACAAACCAACAAACCACCCATTTTTTAAAAATTCGCTTTTTCCCCGCCCGGTAAACAACAGCTGGGAGCCATCTTGGCAGCAGGGTGGAGTATGGGGGGGGGGCAGAGGAGGACGACGAGACGTCTAAAAAGAGCCTTATTGAAGATCGCTCTGCGCTTTTCTTCCTTTCCTTGCCTCTTTCCCCTTATTTCAGCATTTTCATATATTTTTAAAAACCTGTTTGCAACGCGCCGCCTTCCAGGTTAGTGCATGGAAAGAGCTGTCCGGCAAGGCTTGCAGTTCCACGCCGAGCTTTTTCCGGGGGGGGGAGTGTTGGGGCGCCCTTAACCAGAAGTTATTACATTTCCCCCCTTTAATTTTTATCCGGGGGGAAAACATGCTTTGCCGTAAGTATTTAGACCAATTCGTCTGACTTTAGATGGAGGGAAGGGGCTGTTCTTCATTTTCACCATCTCTCTCTCCCCCCCCCCCGCAAAAAAAATAGCACATAATTCCCTTTTCCATCCCGCCAAGATCTGTGAAACGTTGTGTTTATTTTTAGCAGCCAGGAATGTTGCTGGTGGTTTTTGCAACAAACTGTCGAGCCCAAAATGTATATATATTTTTTCTCCTCCTGAATAGATCGATCGATAGATAGATTCTCCTCCCAATTCGGTTTGTCCATCCTGAAACTGGAGCTTAAGAGTTGCAGTTATATCCCCCCCCCCAAAAAAAAGCCTATTTAACAGCACAGCCTGTGTATGTTTACTCGGAAGTAGGCCCTATTGTGGCTCTGTGTACTCTCAGGTAAGTGCAGAGGATTGTAGTCCTAAGGATTTCTCTCTCTCTTGCCCCCCCAAAAAACCCCCCAGATTTAATTCAGTAGATGTCCAGGGCTAATATATCCTGAGGAATCGTAAATGCATTAATTTAGGAAGCTGCCTGGACCACAGAATAGTAAAAAAATTCTTTTTCCCCCACCACTTACCAAAGGTCGTTCTAACCTTGAAGCAAGCTTTACACACACACACACACACACACACACACAGCCCTCCTCCAGCTTCCAGATTCTCACCCCTGATGCAAGCTTTGGGGCTGCAACCCTACATCTACTTTCCTGCGAGTAAACCCTATTGAAATCACATTTTTCCTTTAAATAATAATAATACATAATACTATTATTATTATTATTATTATTATTAATAATAAAGAATGCTTAACTTCACAAACATAATTGCTTACAGAAACACATTAGTGAGTTTGTAGTAGTGGTGTTACACTATTTTCACTGTGGGTAGTACTTTCACTATGGCGTCTATCACCAGTTTACACTACATTCCTATTAAATTTACAAGTCTTCATTTCTTGTTTTTTTCTGTTAAATAAAAAAAATCACACCCCATATCTCAGTGTTATAGTTTGCAGTTTGTGTGTGTGTGTGTGATTAGATTAGCAATGCTGCTTGTTACGAAAATAAAACATTTTGCTTGGTTTTTTTAAAGCTGTTGGTGGTTTTATGGAAAGCTTTTGGGAACCGTTTTTTTCCCCCAGGCACCACCCTTGTGCTAGCAAAGAAGAGGGAAAGAGAGAGGAGGCCGGTTTCACAAATTATTTCTAGAAGATCAATAGCGCAGTCCTGATCATGTTTACTCAGGAGTCGGACCCCTTGCAAGTGTGTGTACTAGAACTCCGTCTTTAGAGAGGAACCTTGAAATATTTATTTATTAGACTTGCCTACCTTAACAGGGTAGGAAAGGGGTTAGAAACAGTCAAGGTCTCCCCCCCCCCCCCCGCGCTTATTTTTTCTTTGTATTAAAGCTTTCATGTATAAGATCAAAGTCTTTTCCCATGTGTCCCCCTTGCTTTATAAAGCTTGCTAGTTTTAAACCTGTGGATTACAAAGCTTTTTCGATTTTTACCCCCTCCCTAAAAAAGACAAATTCTCAACTGTAGGCTGCCGATTTTGTCCCAGTTTATGGAAATGACCATAAACTATTTTGGCTCTGGCTGTATTTTATGTCTTCTCCCCCATCCTTCCAACAGACAACTTGATTTATTTAAATAGGTGTTGTGGCAAAGGTGTGGGGCATCTTCCTTCAGCAACAATTGGGGAATCTGTGAGGGTTTGGGGGTTTTCCGTAAGGGCTTGGTGGATGAGCTACAGGTTTTCTGGTCTCTGTTCCCATGTTTTAGGACTCGGGTGCAGCAAGGGGGTGTTGACCCTTCACCCATTTGGGTGTTCAGCTGCTGAAACCCAAATATAGCTTGCCTAAGAAAGGGGGGAGTCCAATCTGAATATTTGGCTGTGCGTCTGCTGGGTCACAGGCCTCAGTGGGTCGATAGCCAGATACTGATATATGCATTTGCACAAGCTGACATAAATGGCAATATGATCTTACAGAGTTTCCTTTTGGCAATGCTGCGCTGTTGTAACCGCCTGATTTAAAAGCCCAGTTCTGGGCAAGGAGGAATCTGGCCTTAAGGAGGATCCTTGCGCTCCCTCCCGCTACCACCAATGATGTAAAACTTTAAATTTCCCAGCTGGAAATCCTGGACCCCAAGGTTTTTGGCTGGAGGGCCGGGTAAGGGAGGGAATATTTGTGCATGTGTCTTATTTCCCTTGTGGCCTCATGGAGCGCTGGATCGATGGGCAGCCATGGCATCTCCCTGGTGAGCCAGGAGAAGACGCAGTCCGTCAGCTGCCTCCTGAGAGACGCATCGCATTTCCTGCAAGGAACTGAATAGAAGAACTGAATTGCCCCCCAGCCCATTATATCACATCAGCAACTGCATATGCAGGTGAGGCTGAGAGGTGGCAAATTTGGCTCAAGGTCACAGTGAGCTGCTTGCCGGGGTGTGGGATTTGAACCCAGGCCTTTCCAGTCTCAGCCTTACATACTGACCATTGCACCACCCTCCAGGGTTTTTGGCCAAGTCCTGCATGCAGCTGTTGGCTTTGAACACCTTTTCACATGCTGTCTTTGGCTTGTGGGGTAAGAAAGAGGGTATTCATATCTGTTACACCTTTCGTTGGGGAAAGAGAGCCATTTGCAGTCTTCCCACGTTGCAGTGTGTACCTGCAGTATACTCTGTACGAAAGCTGGTTTTGCAAAGACTACGAAAGCTGGGTTTGCAAAGACGTCGGGTGTGTTCACAAAAGCATGTCAATTTTATTCTTGGCCAGCACCAGTTAAAACACACAGAAACTATCTCTAGGAAGCAATGTCAGTTCCATTTCATTTATAACACTGCAAGTGGGAAGCACTTATTTTAATTTGCTGCCCCAACAATCGGAGATTTAAAAAATCTTAGAACAGTAAAATGGAGTTGGACTGCCAAGGGTCATCTAGTCCAGAGTCCCTGGCAGGTGGCCATCTGACCTCTGAAAAGACTTTTCCCTTCCTTCCTTCCTTCCTTCCTTCCCTTTGTAAGGCATCTTGTGCAA